CATAAACTTTAATTTGTCAGTTTAACAGTAGAGTCTGAGAACTTGGAACGTGTGCAGTGGTGCGGAATCCTAGTTTCATGACACATGCAGTGGTGCGGAATCCTAGTTTCATGACACAACGTTAAATTAATTTTCTATTGGTTAATGAGACTTGCCAATTTAAAAAAAATGCAGCCTGTATAATACCAGCCCCACCTTTGGAGACTCCAATGTTTTCATTGAATCTTCAGCTTTCAACACTTTCAGATGTGTCTGATGCCCACGTTTCCCAACTAAGGTTCCACCTGCAGGCACACGTGTCTAGTGTCTTAAACTCTGAGCTAGTGATGTAGTAGGTGGCCGGTGGAACCACAGCACAGAGATGAAGTTATAACACACAAATTCACTGAAAGGCTCCCAACTGTTGAAGGCACAGAGCTTTTTTTTTTTTTTTTTTAATAAAAGGTTTTTTTTTTGGTAACCTGCACCCTGGTGATATATGTGGCCTGTTTTGGGCCAAACAATACATTTCTGGTTTTTCAAGCTTTAAATCAGTTACACATTGCATGGATTCATATATGTACTTACTTCATCTCTAATGGCTTTCATGAAGGGGAAAATGACTTTAACATTGGCAGCAATCCTCAGCATGTTGTAGCATTGTTCTACAAATACTTCTTTTGAAGGGTTCACTTTTAACTGAAGTTTTGTCCATATGAAAATCAAATCCCTACAAATAGCAGAATGTTAGATTTCTCAATGTAAATATTAGGAGAGGATTTATATTTGACACCTTTAAAGAAACATTTTAGGACATGTCAAGTATAAGTTAAGAGAAAACTTTTTCAAAGGACACTATTCCTTACTACTAAATGCCAATCTTTAGCAAGTAAAGTATATACGGAAGAGGCTATGTGATCTTTTATCTTGCATTTAGTCCTAAAATTGGAACTACTTTGCTAAATGAAAGTGGATCATTCATCCACTGTGTAATTATAGCAAGGTACCAGCTTTGTCTAATTTTCTTTTAGTTTTGGACAGTGGTAAGGAGTTAGAACCACTGTCTGTATCCCTAGTAAGGCGATTCTTTCTCTTCGATTGTCCTGATCGCCAGCATCACCAGACATGAAATGAGGGGCAATACATACTTTTGAGTTGCCACCAGAACAGGAATAGAGGGGAAATATTCCAATGCAGAGATCTGTTCCCGTAACAACTGTACTGTTAGGGTACTTCTCCCTTCTAAAAACATGTCCTTGTCTCCCCCATACCGAAAAAAAATCCTCAGGGACCCCACAAACCTGAGCGATCGCAGACCAATCTTCTTACTCCTGTTCACCTCCAAACTCCTAGAACGGCTGATTTATAACTGCCTAAGTTGCCACCACACTGATAACCTTCCCGACCCCTTACAGTCTAGCTTTCAACAACAAAAAAAACTCAACTGAATCTGTCCTCCTAAATTTCACTAATGACTGCTATAAACAATGGCCAGTACTCCTTACTTTTGCTATTAGGCCTTTCTGCTGTTTTTGACACTGTCGACCACCTGCTCCTCCTCAAATAGGAGACCTCCAGGGCTCTGGTCTTTGGACCCCTTCTTTTTTCTATCTATACTTCCTCCCTTGGTCAGTTGATAAACTTGCATAGCTTCCAACACTATCTCTGTACTGATGACACAAATGTATCCCTCCACTCTACAGCTCACCCCTTCGGTGTCCTTGAGTGTCATTAATTTACTAACCAACATATTAGTCTGGATATTGGAAATGTTATTCTCCAACATTGGAAAGAGATCAGCTAACTTCCGGTTAAGTCTACAGGATATAAAGGGAAATCACCATTATATTATGGAGGTACAGATGGCAAAAAAAAAAAAGGAAAAACCAAACAGAACTTTTAACCCTTCCCTATTCTATTCCAAATGAAGGAAATGGTTTTAGATATACTTTAAACAAGCATCGCCATACCTCCCTAAGGTTGGCTATTTCCAGTATGATACAGATTGCTAAAATAACTCAAGGAAATGTGAATATTCCCTGTAAAGGCAACAGAAAAAGTATGCCAAGTACTCCACTACATTTTTCAAAGGACACTATCCTTACTACTAAATGCCAATCTTCAGCAGGTAAAGTATATACGGAAGAGGCTATGTGATCTTTTATCTTGCATTTGGTCCCAAAATTGGAACCACTTTGCTAAATAAAAGTGGATCATTCGTCCAATGTGTAATTATAGCAAGGTACCAGCTTTGTGTAATCATATGACCAATCTTATATAATCCAATCAGATGTCTCCTGTCATCGAGTACAGTCCTTCAATCTATTACTTACCATATACAATACATTTTTCCCGTCTGCAATTGTGTGATGAGAAAGACTTCACTCAGCTGCAGTGCCAAAGGAGTCTTCCCCTCTTTTTCAATGCGGCAGATGATTTTTACACCGTCACTTGCGTCTATTCTCAGCACATGCTAAAATGTGAAAACAGCATATTATGTAGCATCATCTATGTCGCACACAGTTTTAGCTCAGCCTTACCGCTGAATAATGGCCTATAAAGGGTCAGTTTATTCAGAACTCAGTTACTGGCACATTTAAGGGCCTGCTGGCATCTCAACTCTTTCTGGGATTCAAATGGTGAAATTTCCTAGCCATGTCTCACTTCCATTGTGTTGCCTTTGACAAAAACACACTTGTTACCCTAACAGGGCTGTGTCTTATTTTGCCTTGTATAAAAATGTTATTGTTGAGCACACCATACAGGCACTTGCCCTTCAAGGTGCTGAAGTGAACAGAAAAGATGGCGAAAAGAAAAGATGGCGCTCTTTGATACTTCACCAGCACAAGTGCATCACTGACAGATGTTTCTGGACCTCGCATGGGTCCCTTTATCACTTTGCCTTACTAAAGGTGCTGTGCAAGGTTCCAAAATGCCACACTGGGAACCTTGTTTCTTTGTCATCTTGATCTTCAGTTTGGTCTGATATAGTGCATAGATTGTAAAAATCAAGTGGTAGCCCTACATGCTCAAGGTATACAGGGCAGTCATTAAAACGGACAACTCATAACTAGTATTAGGAGCTGCCCATTTCTTAGGTACACAACCAGTGGCCTTCCAGAGAGCAATTATCCAAAGATAATAGGTTACCAGGCCTGGGATTTTGGCAGACAATCATTTTATTTGCTCCCTACTCAGAGCTGTATAGTTTACTCGACCCCGTATGATGTTCGAGAAGGAATGTGTCCAAACAGGTCCTCTTAGATACACTGTCTCTTTAATGTACAGCATACTAAACTCACCACCCACAGGTTCCGTACTTACCCGTTTGAGAAAATGGGAACAGGAACTGGGCCTAAACCTCTACTTAGATCAGATTTATAGGATACTGTACCACATGCTCAGGGCCTCTATAAATGTGCAATCTCAAGAGTCAGGGTTTAAGCTCCTTACTAGATGGAATAGGACTCCTCAAGTGCTTTACGCAATGTTCCATTCCACGAATGGAATGCTAATTTGTAGGCAAATTAGCTATAATTTCGCGCTGAAGTTGCTAGAGGGCCAGACCATTATAAATAGTAGGGATGCACCGATACCACTTTTTTAAGGCCGAGTACGAGTACCGATACTTTTTTTCAAGTACTCGCCGATACCAATTACCGATACTTTTTCTTAAAGGGACAGGTCACATTTTTTCTAAAGCAATACAAAAATCATGATTTTAGGTCAGTTTCTTAATATTATGAAGAACATGAACACTCTGTAGTGTGGCACAGCTATATCCAATTCTGCATACCTGGCTTTATATTATAAGAACTTTATAATATAAAGCCAGATATGCAGAATTGGTTACAGCTGTTCCACACTATACAATAATACACTGTTTGCCTTAGCTAGCAATATCTGCATAGTTATTTCTTTATTTAATGTCTTTTTTTTAATATTATAACATTTATAATATTAAAAAAAAGACATTGAATAATGAAATTAATATTTATCATGCCATTGCTAACTAAGGCTTGTATCCCCCTAGTGGTCAAAATAGATGAGCACATGTCCAGACTGCAGACCAGAACAAAGCTCATCTATTTTGACCACTAGGGGGATACAAGCCTTAGTTAGCAATATCTACATAGTTTTTGCCCACCCCATGAGGTGTGTCAGTACTAACCTGCTGCGTCAGCTTCTCCGTCTGCTTCAGCCACTCCGTGTCACAGCCTAGTCATCTGCTCCAGTGGCGTAACCAGAGTTATGGGCGCCCGGGGCAGAAATTGTTTTTCGCCCCCCCATATTATATAAACATCCACTAGAACTGTACCCCCCAAAGTATCGTTGCTGATCAAGTTCATCCTATCATGTTGATGGCGTATCCCCATGGAGATGGCTTCTTCCAACAAGACAATGCGCCATGCCACGGTGTTCGTATTGTGCAGGAGTGGTTTCAAGAACAGGAGGGAGACTTTGCCTTGCTTAGGTGGCCCCCACAATCACCAGATCTCAATCCAATTGAGCATTTGTGGGACGAAGTTGAAAGAGCCATCAGGCAGCTGGTGCCAAGAAGAATCACCACAGTCTTGAAGGCAAAAGGTGGCCCAACGAAGTACTGATGGGGTGGTCATAATAATCTGGCCACTCAGTGTAGACATTGCCCACCCTAGTGCACCATTTTAATCCCTTACTTAGCCATTAGAAACCCCCGATATATTTTCAGTAGATAAGTCTGAATAACATACCTCAGGAAGTAACTTCTCCGTTAAGTTGGTCATATGCAGGCATATGAAGTAGGCTTGATGGTAGTAGATATTTTTGCTGACTTCTGGGTGACTCAGACAGGTTGTAATCAGAGCCACTGCTTCTGAAATACGTTCACAGGCAATGAGGTATCTCACTCTGAATTCAAAGAACAGCTGATTCTCAGACATCAGGTATTTGTCCACTACAAAAGGAACACACACATTTTTTTATTGACCTTTAATTGTGATTGTAAACCTACAGCGTAATCATGCAAGCATATAGAACTGAACATATTGTAATGCAACTAAACTTACTGAACATTCAGGAAAAAAAAAATCCTACATTAGCAGACCTGAAAGTTAGTTCAAGGGTTCCTCCATGTTAAAAAAGATGAGAAAAAGTGCTCTGTGCAGTGCTGAGCTTAAGCTGCCTTCCAAACACTGGCAAACTAAACAGAACAAAGTAGGGGGCTTAAACTGAGACAAACAACATAAAATGTACGCCAGGGGATACTGAATGTGTCTATAGTCAGAAAGACTCTATATTGTTTAGCAATATGTACACCAACAGACAAACATTTCTACAACAAAGGTTTATTTTCTTCTTTGTTATTTCTTTGTTTTTACCTAATTTTCCTCCTCCTAAGGAATCCAGTAGATCAATATATTCTAAACAGTGAAACAACACATACAATATATATTATAAGCATTTTTAAATATGGAAGCAATATATTTCTGTGCTCAGTCGGGAGCTTTTAATGGTCACAGTTTTGGAAACATTTAGCCTCCAAGCTTAGTTGCTTACCAATGTCTTGAGGTTCGGACTTTCCCTTAAGTATAGCTTGCAATACAGGATCCTCCCAGGGTCCTCCATCTTTGATTACACATGTGACTAATCGCAGGTCTATATTGTCGTATCGTATAAGAAGGTCATGACATTCCTGAAAAATTCAGTGTGTTATTAAGACATAATGCTTTAAATTGCTGATGTTCTGCAATAGAATGAGCGGTGTTATCAGCCTGTAGTCAAGAGTAAACTTAGGTGGAAAAACTTTTTTAGATTACATTTTCAGTGATATGCAAAAAAAGAAGTAAAGCCCAACTCCAGCTAGCACTTATAAAACAGTTACAGCAGTTTCGAAAAAAGGTTCAAACAATATGAATAAAAGAATTGTAAGCACCGCGGAAGTGTTATACAGTTTGCCCAAAACCTGTAATGGCTACATTTGCTGGACAGCTTGGTCTGCATGTAGATGTGGAGAAAAAAAAAACAACCTAAAAAGGCATGTGTATTTAAAAGGAGAACTATGAGGTGAGTGCTTTTCACTCACCTCATAGTTCTAGCCGACCTGTGACAATGAGACTGTCACAGGTCGGCTCAGTAGATTGGGAGGTGAGCGAACACATACCGGCGTTCGCTCACCTCTCGATCCTGTCACGGCTCTCTGCCGTGACAGGGGGAGGGGCTGGATTCCCCTCTCCCCTGGCTCTGCCTCTAGATAGGCAGAGCCAGCTGTCACTCACGCAGCTGGGCGGATCTCAACATCGATGTTGGGATCCGCTCCGGCGTCTCGGTATACCGAGAGCTGTAGCTCGCGGTATACGGAGCTTAGGGTAACGGGAGGATGCTAGTTTGTGTCCTCCCGTTACCCTAAGGAGAACTATGGGGAAAAGCCCAGACCCCACAGTTCTCCTTTAAAGGAGAACTATGAGGCAAGTGAAAATCACTCAGCCTCATAGCTCGAGCAGACATGTGACAATGAAACTGTCGCACGTCGGCTCAATAGATCGGGAAGTGAGCGAACACATACCGTCGATCGCTCACTTCTCGATCATCTCCCTGCAGAGAGCAGAGATCCTCCAGCGCTGGACGGGGGAGGGTACAGCTGGCTCTGCCTCTAGATAGGCAGAGCCAGCTGTCAATCACACAGCTGGGTGGATCTCGAGAGTAATGTCGGGATCCATCCCGGCTGCCTCAGTATACCGCGAGCTGTAGCTCGCGGTATACCGAGCTTTGGGTCATGGGAGGACGCTAGTTTGTGTCCTCCCGTGACCCCGAGGAGAACTATGGGGAAAGCACTGACCCCTTAGTTCTTTCAAAAAATTTTTTTTTTAAATCATATAATTTATTAATAATAGCAAGCAAGTAGCTGAATAATAATTGCAACTGCATACACTGTATGTAGGGAGTCTCTGTAAAATCTATCTGCAACTGATTGTTACGCTAAAGGTGCCCATACACTGCTCGATTCTCGTACGAGAATTGGGCGAAATCCCGCGATCGTACGAGAATCGAGCAGTGTGAACTAAGACGTGCGACCGTTTCTACTGTACGGTCGCACGTCTTTTGTCGAGCCAACATGCTCGAAAACCCGCCGAGAATCGTACGATTCTCGGCGGGTTTCTAGCCTGCTCGCCCGATAGCTGCGGAACGGGCCGGTGTGCGCACGCGCACACTGCCCGTTCTGCATTGCCGTCATCGGAAGCACGCCCCTCAGCAGTGCAGGCTTTCGATGATCGCAAGTCCGATCTGCCCGTCCAAGGTGGGCAGATCGTACGAGCTTTCAAGAAGCATACGACCATCGCAAGACAAAAGTCTTGCGATGGTCGTAAGGTGTATGGGCACCTTTAGCAATTCATCGTTGGTAATTTCATATTCTCCTAATCCTTGACACAGCTGAAATCAAATGGACTGGGACATGATGCCAGTCAGGCTCTAGGACACTTTGGTGTCAAACAGGTTTTAAGCATTGGGAACTGGAGAGGGCAATGTACACTGCTCAAAAAAAATGAAAAGGAAAACGTTTTAAATCAGAGTATAGCATCAAGTCAATTAAACTCTTGGGATATTGATCAGGTCAGTTAAGTAGCAAAAGGGGGTTGTTAATCAGTTTCAGCTTATTTGGTGTTAATGAAATTAACAACAGGTGCACTAGATGGGCAACAATGAGACGACCTCCAAAACAGGAACACATTACCCAGTCCAGTACACAGTAGATATCCAGCATGATATTTTTCCCTATAGAGATCTGATGTGTTTTCAAAGTGTTCCTTTACTTTTTTTGAGCAGTGTATAAGCAAGAAAGGGAGCACAGGGACCGCTGTACCAGTGAAGTGACACCCATTCATAATGTGTTGGGGAGGTGACACAGGAAGCTGCAGAATTTTAACAAAGCATCCCCCTATTGCTGTAAAATGTGATTCGGGTATATGGATCCCAGGATTGGCAATTAGGCCTGTATAGTAGTAGCTGGCACCACCATAAGGTGTCTAATATTACTGCCTTCATTCCTTGCTGTTGGCCCAGCTTCCCTGTCATCTATGTGACAAAGCTTGGAACTGGCCATGGGATGCTTAGACACACAGAGCAGGATTATGGTGGTTGAACACATATACCTTTATACCAGGAAGTATCAGACATTTGAGTGAGAAAGTTCAGATCAGGTGCCTGATATACAAAAGCAGGCCGTTTTTACCCTCTACATTGCACATGTGTATACCGATATTGTTCAATTTATAGAACATTTTAAAATATGATATAGTTATAGAGGAAGATCTATCCATCAGGACTACAAAGATATAAACACATTTTACATTTAGCCAATTCCCAGCAATGCATACATCTGGATGTAAGCCTTTTTTTTTTTAAAGGTATTAAAAATCTCCATCCATAATCTCGCATACAACTAAATGAGCTTTAAACATTCAGCTTCCACTGGCATACAGAACCAAACTCCAAACTTGGATACATTATAACATTCTTGGACTAGGGAAACATTAAGGAGACATTAAACCCTCAGATTTTTTTAACATAAAGCAATACTGTAATGTGTGCCTTACTGTAATCCATGGTTGTTTCCCTTCTCTTTGCTGCTCTTCCTTTTAAATCCTTATCTCTTCTCATGCTCGGGGAGAACTTCCCTTTGCAGCTGACTGCCTCTTCCTGTAGTGCTGGCTCAGGTTGTGAACCTACAGACACCGTGTATCCATTTCAGAGACAAGGCAGTCTGCTGCAAAAACAGAAGTTCTGCCCAGCATGAGAACAGATACAGATTTAAAAGGAAGAGCAGCAAAGAGAAGGGAAACAAGCATGGATTACAGTAAGGCGCACATTACAGTATTGTTTTATGTTAAAAAATCTGAGGGTTTAATGTCACTTTAAGACAAAGTATTTTCTTTGAGGCTCGCAAGCACTTTGGAATCATATGGCATCATATATGTGTATTAAATTGTACAATAAATTAAAATTACCTGAATTGAGCCAAGAATGTCTTTCAATGGAGTTTCATAAAACTCATCTTTTCCAAAAAACAGCATTAATTCAAAGAGACTCCTGAAATATCAAACATATTTTAGAGAATACTGCATAATAAACACAATTGATTAAAGCTGAACTGCAGCTTGGCCCAACATATGTACTGTATATGTCAAACCCGATCGGCCGCTAGGAATCGTTTACAACACTGTATAAGACAGACCTACTATAGCGCTGGCTGCGATCTTCCCGGACGTGTGCTGCTTCGCCTCTGCTCTGAAAACAAAGGGGGAGCTTGCTCGGCACAGCGGCCAATCAGGGAATACCTAATATGGGAAAGTTACGTCATGATTTACTGATAAAAATACTAGGAAAGGAATTTATCAAAACTGGGAGCAGACAGAATCTGGAGCAGTTGTACATTCCAGCCAATCGGCTTCTCTCTTCAGTTTGTCCCATTAAGCTTTGAAAATAAAGAGAAGCTGATTGGTTGCCAAGGGCAACTGCTTCAGATTCTGTGGGCTCTAGTTTTTCTAAATTCCTCTCTAGGTGTTCTCTGAATGGCCGCTTTGCCAAGCGTGCGTCCCCTTTGTTTTCAGAGCAAAAGAGGAAGCTGCTCAGCATAAGACCTGGAAGATTGCAGCTAGCACTATAGTAGCTCCTTCTACTAGAGTGCTGCAGGCTGATCAGGAATGACAGCTTGGCCCAATGTAAGTATGCACAATACTGGATGCTGCAAGTTCAGCTTTAATAACACTGAAAAAACTAAACAAATTACTGTATTATGTCACAGTGTTATTTTAGAAACCCAAAGTACAGTATTAGCGGATATTGTTCATCTGCACTACAAAGTCATGAAAACAGATTCATGCAGGACATAATTGTGAGTTCAGAATTTATAACGGAGTGTCACCACCATCCCTTTCATACATTACATTCTTTAGAGCTCATTCACACCATAAGGTTGTGCACTGCAATGCATGCAATGTCATGTGTTGATGTGTCGTGTTAAACAACCCATTCAAATCGTATGAGCTGAAACACACAGACATTTTGGTGTCACCCCCTCCAATGGTGTAACCCAGGTGCGGGCTGCACCCCCTTAGTGAAGCCACTGTTTGTGCATCACTCAGCTGTAGATCCTCAAATCTGTCTGAATTGGTGCCGACACTGTCCTTCCTTCGGGAGGGTGACTACTTTTGTTCCCCATGGTGCCTGTTGTTGTAAAGTAGCCACCGCTCCAAGCTTGCTCCCATAATGGACTACAAGCTCACGTTTAGTTTACTAATTTGTATTGAGATTGTAGTCCATCACAGGAGCAAGCGTGGAGCAGTGGCTACTTTACAACACGCACAGGGACCATGGGGAACAAAAGTAGCCACCCTCCGGAAGGAAGGACAGTGTCAGCACCAATTCAGAGATGATTTGAGGATCTACAGCCGAGTGATACACAAATAAGATACATTTTTGTTAATAGTTAAAAAGGTACTTGAATGCTTTTTTAAGATTTAACTCCTGAGTTTAGTGTCAATTCAAGGTGTGTTTGGGTGCCATTCACAACGAATTGCATCACAGTGCATAGTACTGTGAGTTGTGGTAATCTACGCATTACCGTAGCACAATGGTATGAACGCCAAGCATAATACAGATCTACTGAGTGGCAGCTTTAAGCCAAAAAAAAAACACCGTCACCAAGAGCTTAGAGGAAAACTGCACCTAATGGACTAGCCACTGAAGAGAAGGGCGCCCACCCTAGTGTAGATTCTTTTTAATATTGTATATTGAGGTAACAATAAAAACAATCAAGACAGAAGTGTATAAGGTAAGCCAGAATGACATCTGCAACAAGCTGCACAGAAGATTGTGTGACAGCACAGGACTCCTTACGATGACTCACTTTTGTGAGTATGTTTTTATTGTTACCTCAATATACAATATTAAAAAGAATCTACACTAGGGTGGGCGCCCTTCTCTTTTGTTTCCTCCCACAGTATTGCAGCTTCCCAGGCTGAAGTGGGGCAGCACCCCTAGTAATCCTCACCCGCAACTATCCTTCATTTGTTGGTCAACGTTTGGTGCTTCTGATTCATTTTTTATTGGACTAGCCACTGAGTATACAGTATATATATATATATACACACAAACATTACACTGCTGTTCCCTTCATTTCAGAAAACATTGGTGCAAGTATATGCAAAACCCAAAAGCCCTGAAAATGTCAAATCATTACCGTATATGTAAACCCAATCATAAAAATCTCATAGAAACTTTAACAAATTATTCCAAAGGTGATTTTTTATTACTTTTAATCTGCAGTTTTCATTAAAAATTCCTGGTGCTCCTGCCTTGACGGCCCATGTACAAGCGCACTGTTATAAGGTGACAACGCTCTGTCACTGTCTGGTAATTGCATTTCTTCACTGTCACCCTCTCACATACTCTGCAGCTGGAGACTACAAGCATTCATAGCAAAGAACAGTAAAAGGACATGGACCACTGTTTTTTACCATGTTAATTGGCCCTATAAAAATGCCAGCCATCACTGGACTGCCAGCATGTAATCAGCAGCACTGAAGTTTAAGAAAGAATGAAAAAAGTAAAAACCGTAATTTCATTAAATCAATATGGATTAAAATCTTATGCTACTAAGGCATAAAAGACTCCAGATCTTCAAATGGTTACTACTAGGGCAACCGAACATTCATATGAGGCAACAGCAACAAGACATTCTGCGAGAACTACAGCAGGCAAGATACAGACGTGACACTTTAACGTGTGTTAGTGATCTAAAGAATACAAAAAGAATCACTGTTGTCAAACATCATTCTAATGTGTTAAAGGGAAAAGTGTACTTACAAAGCTAGTCTACTCAAAACATACTGAACGTGCTCACATTCATCCGGGAAAGACACGCTGGCGGATGTGAAGCAACAGAGCGCCGTTTGAAGTACTTGGAGCTGCGGCAATGGGACGTGCCACCGTGCAGTGTATTCTTCAACGATCTGAAAGAGATCAACATACCTGCTGTCAATGAGGCAGAAACACAGCATCATGGCCGTGATATATCGGAGAATGTTCACACAATAAATTGGACGAATATTCACTTCAATTATCCAATCATGTGCAGATGAAATATGTGAACTGGAATTTTTATTTTCACATGATAGGATAATTGGAGTAAATATTTGTTTATTGCATAGCACAGCCCCGCCTGGCAATCGAGGGGAACTGATCTTTCACTTACAGGTTTCCTCCCCAGTGACTGGACAGTTTAATGAGAAGCAGCGTACTGATGAGCTCATCTCTCTCTGTCATACTCATCACAATGCTGTCTGCACTGCAACACATCTAACTGGTTTCTGGCCCTGTTTATTCCTTCCCCTCTCTCAGCTCTGCTGTACATGGACAGCTGCGGCAATGGGACGTGCCATCGTGCAGTGCATTCTTCAACGATCGAAAAAAGACCAGAATACCTGCTTTCAATTAGGAAGAAACAAAGCATCATGGCCGTGATATATGTGACAGACACTGATTTACTAAAGAATCGGAGGAGAGGCTGATACCAAGTCAAACTCCGGAACTTACACCGCATGAATTTAAAAAACATTAACTGGATGTGTTAGTGATTACAGAGCTGCATTATTCAGTGCTGTATATATCTGCCTAGAGTTCAGCTTTAAAGAAGACCTCCAGGCCCAAATTTTATTAACCCTTGCAGTGGGAGTACCCCCGCAGAGCAAGGCTTAACTGCTCATTTTTGCCTATGGAAAAAAAAAAAAAAGGTTATACTCGCCTGATTCTCAGAGCCGGCTTGCTTTTAGACCATCCCTGGATCCTCTCCCCCCCTTCGCTTCAGCGGTCTAAGGTCCTGGGAGTCATCACGGGGGACATACTATTGCTACAGCGGAGGAAGTGCTGGCGGCTCCGAGGATCAGGCGAGTATAACTTTTTTTTTTATTGACCCTAGGCAAAAAACAAACAGTTAACCCTTGCAGTGCAGGGGTAGGCCCACTGCAAGGGTTAATAAAATTTGTGCCCAGAAATTCTTCTTTAAACAATGACATAACCGTTTAGCTACTATCAAAGTCAATTCTGGGTGAAGCATGCCGGACTGAATTTCTAGATTTGTTTTCGAGACGTTAGTGGCGAGATTCTTTTTAAGCAGTTTGTGTTCCTGCCCTTCTACAACGCCATAAGGCGCCACCTGCCAGCTGGCTGGGCTCTCTATTTATTACACATTATAGGGAATTCATAAGGGAAGCATGAGACCATCATTTGGCTCTATAAAAGCTCTGACAGTTGGGAATTCTGGTGGAGAGATCATCCTACTAGGATCCCCAAGAGATACAGGAATGTCTATAAAAATCTGATACAACTTGACAGCAAATCAAACAAATCTGGCATATCTGCAGAGAAGAAAATAAGGAAAGTCACAGCAATATATCAAGTCTTCTATATCAGGCTAACAACCATTTAAAGTGTATGTAACCCTGAACTTCTCATAGTAATCCCTTTTGGGATGTTCATTATATATCTGGAATAATGTTATGTACAAAAAAATAACCATTGCTCTGGTCAGAAATTCAGAGCTGTCCTCTGCTTCTGTTATCTCAGACTATTAAGCCCTCCTAGTTCTTATTGTGGACGACAAGGCACATAGTCCTTATGCTGTGGAGAAGTTGGAGTGGTTGAGCAAAAGAAAGTTGTCAGGGCTTCCACTAGTCTACAACTATGCTACGGGTTGTCCACCCACAATAGTGAATTAAGAGCTGAGTGCGTATTAGCAGACCAAGGGGTATTTTTCCGTACTTGTATGGTCTTTAAAAGTGATACAACATGAGCAAATACCCATGTATTGCAGAGATGTACTGCATATTTTTTAAACTTTGCCTTGACATAAACCTTAATGGGTCAAAAGCAACTACACCCTAAAACTGGCCATACACTATGTGAAATGCATCAACCGGCCAACATTTGCACAGTGGGTGCTGCCGTCGGCACCCTTTGGCTGGCATCCCTCAATCAGCTGATCAAAGGAGCAGGTTGGAGAATCTTTGAACATACAGAGCCAGCGACCAATCAGCTGCTGGCTCTGGCCCGGTATTATGACAGAGGCCGGCGACCACCGTCAGAATATAATGAAGGCAGCGGAAGACTCCTCAATCAACACTCTTAAGCAGTGATGGAGGAATTTGTTATATTTCCTTTGCTCAGCCTGCAGGTTGAACGAAGAAAATATTAGTGTATAGGCAGCTTAAAGTACACATAACCCCAGAATCTATTTTTCAGTATGTTTGGCATCATGTCTCACTGTATACAGTCTTCTTATGAAAACATTTTTTAGGACTCAGTTGCTTGTATGAACATCCCCCTAAGTACCAGAATCTCTGTTACAGGATGACCAGGCTAAGCCTTCACCTCACATGCAGCAGCATTGTTGTCCGCCCCTTTCAGTTGGCTACCCGCTAAGGCTTTTGATACGGTACCTCATAAACGCTTACTTCACAAGCTAAGAGCTATGGGTATACTGACAGACCTGACTGGCAGCCCAATGGCCAATTTAATTGGTTTTAGTTTTACATACACTTTAGATAGTCTTCCCCCAAGAGGAATCCTTGTGTGTTTTGTTCCTTCTACTACAACAATTCTAACATTTCCTAAATTATGATTAGCGCTTGAAGTAGGACAACAGTATAGTATAATAAATACACAAGAACATAAACCCAACTTGTATCCTATCAGCTACATAAAACAATCATTCAACACATTTTTGACCACAGAATATTCCTACCGAACACTATAGACAAAGCAAAGAGTTAATGCAACGAGACAACAGAAGGCATCACAGATTAGAGTCTAGCACAAACCTGAAACAACTTCAATAAAAAAAAAAGGAAGGCCTTACTGACACAGCATGACACCAATGTATAGCGAAAAGAGAGACAATGTTCAGGAACAGCCATTCATAAAAGAACCTTTAAAAAGGAGAACTATGAGGTGAGTGGAAAAATCACTCATCCTCATAGTTCGAGCCGACGTGTGACAATGAAACTGTCACACGTCGGCTCAATAGATTGGGAAGTGAGCAAACTCATGCCGTCGCTCGCTCACTTCTCGATCATCTCCCTGCAGAGAGCCGTGACTGTCACTCACAGCTCCCTGCAGGGTTTTCCCCCTCCCCTGTCCGATCCTCCAGCGCCGACTGGCGGAACGGATGGGGGAGGGTACAGCTGGCTCTGCCTCTAGATAGGCAGATCCAGCTGTAAATCACACAGCTGGGTGGATCCAGACAGTAATGTCGGGATCCGTCCCGGCTGCGGCGGTCTCAGTATACCGCGAGCTGTAGCTCGCGGTATACTGAGCTGTGGGTAACGGGAGCACGCTAGTTTGTGCACTGACCCAATAGTTCTCCTTTAATTGAAATAATACTTTATCATGGTCACTAGATGGAGCTGAGGATCACAGGAAATAAATACATCTTGGTAACAACAGATACAACGTAACAGTTCAGAGAACACTGGGGGGAATTAGCAGATACGTGTAACATTAGTAGTACTCCATTCTACTTAATTCATACTTACCAAGTAGGTGCAATTTGGTATTCCTGCAGCAGGAATTCCAAATCTTCAGTTTACAAGCAGCAGCTGTCACCCATTCAAGTTAATAATCTATTGACAGCCGCTGCATTTGAACGCTGGCACACCGCATGTGGTTGTATGTGATACGCGGTTAGGAATGAATCACTATCCCTGGACCCACGATCAATGCATCCAGGGATAGTGATCGATTCCTAACCGCATGTAATTATATCATATATGATTCTATGTAGTGCGCCGGTGTTCTGCCACTTTCAAATGCAGCGGCTGTCACCCCGTCGGTAACTTGAACGGGTGACAGCTGTCACTTGTAAACATAAGATTTGGAATTCCTGCTGCAGAAAATCACAAGTTCTTGCTGTAGAAATACCAAATCGCACTTACTTGGTAGGTGTGAATGCAGCCTTAGAGTGTTTGATTCCTGGTCCCCTCTGTGCTCTGTAGTTTCATTCGACAAAGAAGTAAAGTGAATGTCAATGAATGGAATGACAGCATGCAGAAAGGAACCAGATATCCTACATACCCAAAGTGTGCCAGATGCTGAAGAAAAATCAACACAATTTTCTCTTCATGATAAAAGAGTTTGACGCAACAGGTGGCGGGACTGGTGATGCTTTTCGTTGCAGACTGGGCTTCACTTTAGCTTTTTTTAAATAGTGACAGCGCACAATTGTGGGATGATTATTGTTTAAAACATGCTTTACCTGCTCCCAAAAAACATTTACAGAGAGCTTGCCTTTGTGTCACTTGTTTTGCTGTACAAAGTTTGTTTACATTTAGTGTCTCCCCATTCATAAGCGCTCAAATGTATATTTAAACAGAAGATACATTTCATCCTGTGTGGTCAATACAACTCGGAACAATTGCATTAGATATTTGAAGCGAGAGCAAGACCGGCAGTAAAAGCCACACTTCATGTTTATTATTCCATTACACTTCTATACCTTACTAAACCAGTGATGTCAGAGTGGCAGTGTTACTGGTCCTCAAGTATTCCACTGTGATAACCTGATGTGGAGATCTTAGTTATGTAGTGTAGCTTGCAGAGTATTTATATATCCTGCATGTATGCCACGCACCAAAGCAGCAGATGTACCAGTGCTGAGCAGAGTGCTCAGGTGAGAGATCGTGTAGACATAGCCGCTAATCTGCAGGGAACTCAGGTGAGGGACAAGTATTCCAGTTCATGTGTTGGGATCTCAGGTAATTATAGTAGATGAAGTCCAAAATAATCGTTTATTTGAAACGTCATCTCCGACGACATGACGTTTTAAATGAGCAATCACTTTGGACTTCATTACTCTTGGTGTGCTGGTGACATTCATCTACTATCATTGTCTGGCGGCGCCATCCACAGTCATGAAGGGGAACCCCCCACATTGAATTAGAGATCTCTGGTAAGGAGTGCGACAAGGCAACTCTACGCTTGGGCTCTCAGGTAGGGGATAGTTATGCCAGTCACTGTGCTGGGCACTCAGGTCCGGGACGGGAAGGTAGGGGCGGACAGGTCCGGGACGGGAAGGTAGGGGCGGACAGGTCCGGGACGGGAAGGTAGAGGCGGACAGCTCCGGGACGGGAAGGTAGAGGCGGACGGGAAGGTAGAGGCGGACGGGAAGGTAGAGGCAGACGGGAAGGTAGAGGCAGACGGGAAGGTAGAGGCAGACGGGAAGGTAGAGGCAGACGGGAAGGTAGAGGCAGACGGGAAGGTACGGCCCTTGTCAGGTAGTACAGGTGATCCTCCGGTCCCGGAATCGGTCGGTCAGGCCCCAGTGCAGACAGACTGGGGCCATTCTCTGCACAGTCTATGTGTACTCCGCTCTCCCAGCTCCCTCCAGCCTGCGCCCCCTCTCACCTCACAGAACCGACGACAGTACAACCGGCACCTCTGTTCGCCACCTTCTATCCCCCTCAGCTCCTCATCTACTATGGCTTCCAGCTCCTCCACCAGCCTCTCCGACTCCTGATCACTCTCATCTTCCGCCATGCTCCTGTCTCCGACCTGCGCGTACTGCTACCGCCAGGCAACCGCCCCCTCCCCTTCCTGCTCCGCCTGTTCTCAAACATGATAGGCCGAAAAGCATGTCAATCGAAGCGAATCTGCTGGGAGGGGGTGGACATAAAAGCATTGACTTCTAGGCCTGCAGCTGATTGGACGCTTTCTATATCCGTCAACACGCTGTCTCCGGAAGAGATGACGTCGCAGGCTGCCGTCCGTTCATTTGCTGGGCTCCGAGCTGTCATTAATAGCTGAGAGAACGGCCTATCATAAAGTGGGCCGGGCGGCTGGCTGGGAATGGGATCATTAATGGGGATTAATTGTGTGCGGGGTCTGAGCTGTGTGTGCCCAGCCTGTGACACCTGTGTGTGGCATGGGGGTGGTATGGATGTAATCACATCTGTGTGCTGGGGGGGGGAGAGCTTCTCAAGAGGTTTCTTTTGGGCGTACTGTGACTGATGATTGGGAATACGTGCACAGTATTAGTTGCCAAGCTGATTCCTGGACAACTAAAGCTCAGTACAGCATGGCAGTGCCGCCCCTGCCATGCTGTACTGAGCTTTACTATGTCATTCTATCGTTAGATTGATCAAGGAAGACGTTCTGTTAAAACAAAGAAAAACTCCAACTTGTGATGAGATTTCATGTACAGGTGGAGCCCTATCCCATCGGGAGGTACGGCCAGTATTCATGTAAGGGGCCGGGTACTTTTTGCTGTAGACCAATAGTGCCCCTCCTCTCAGCTTTCTATCTTGGCATAGAGAGGATGAGCAGAGTGATTTTGGCAAAGCTGCGACTCGCTTCCACCCAAATAAATTTGCAGCTATTTATTTCATTTAGCGGGTATGTCTGGTTTGGTTTTAGTTGGGTGTGTTAAGAGCACTTTTTTTTATGCAGCGCTGATTTAAAATCTGTGTAACACGTTACCGCCACACTCATTACATGCCTTGATGCATTGCGGTGCCATTCATTTTGAACAGCCTCCCTAACACACCAAAGCAACGCTGCAACGCATGGCAATGGACCATAGTGTGCTGCGGCAAATATATATTGTCATGTCCGATAGTTTGTGGGCCGGAAGTATATTGATATCAATGGACTGCCTTCATTGAACATATGTTAACACACAACCACATACATGTAAATGGGCGCTGTTTTTTATTTTTCATGTTTTGGATTATTTGTTTACTATTGCTTTCATTCCTTGTGTTTTTTTGCTTTCTATTTGTCCTTTCTATGAAAAAAACATAGTAGCAATGGTTACATTTCACCCCTAATTCCCTCCAATGTTCTCTAGAATATGTACACCAGTGGTTCTCAACTTGTGTAACCTCAGGACCCACTTTTGTCCTCGGTCATTAAGTCGCGACCCAAGTTGCACTGCAATGGAATGCGCCGTATTGTGGTACCTGGGGCGGGCGATCGAACTGTGGGTGGGAGGTGCGTTTGGTGTATTATTAAAATGAATGGCAACGCAACACGCCTTCCACACCAGAACACGTGGTAGGTGCGATTACATGGGACTGTACAATAAACGCACTGTACTAGTGCGAACGGGCCCTCAAAAACACTGACAGACACACGCAACCACAGACACATTCTCACATATACTCACTCCCCAAAAACATTTTCTCTTTTTTTTAAGGTCCACCCTGTCTCCCTACCTTACAAGAACTGGAGTGGATCCTCAGCCTGGGATCCAGTGGGGGCTGCTGTGGTGTGACAGAGCTCCATCCATATGTGCATTGCTTGTACAGCTCCCTTGGGCGCCCTGTAGAGGTGCTGGGAGCCATTTTGAATTTTATCCTCTGGGCGAGTGGAAGCCAGTGTAGTGATTGACAGAGGGGGGTTGCAGACACTGAGCGGTTGGTCAAGTGAATGAGTCCAGCAGCTGCATTCATGATAGACTGAAGGGGGGATTGCCTGTGTAACAGTGAGTGAGCTAGTGGGTGATGGAGGACATAGTAGAGACTTGAAGGTAGAAAAGAGTTGACGAGGTCTGGATGAGAGTGTGTTAATGAGAGTGACAAAATAAGTTTGTTTGCGTAGATACGCGCATGTACGCGTATATATACGCAATATACAATTTTGCTCTTGCGTTGTGTGTAAATGAGGCCTAAGGCATCATGAAATTACACGCAGGCTTTCTAAGCAACCCCCCCCCAACGAAGAAAATGTGAACTCCACCCAGTGTTTGTTGCAGCTCCTATTCAGGCATTGGGGTCTCCCTTAGAAAGACATGTGTGCCACTGCAAACTTTATTTACCTGGGCCCACAGGGTAGTCCACTAGGCCTGGATGCTCTGGGCCAAAAATGGGAATTTATTTTGAACCTTTAAAAGAAGCATTCCTAAAATATCTGACTTTAAACTTGCTTACCTTGTGTCCTTTGAGTCTCCAAATTGCAGGTCCTTTTAGTGAACAAAATCCCCACCTTTCTTACCCTGGTACAGGACAATGTCATCCTCAGAGCCAATACTGCTTTTCTTCCTATAGTAATCACTAAATTACATAGAATTCAAGACATAGGTTTACCATTATTCTGCCATAATGCCACAATTCCTAAAAAAATTGAATTTGCCTCTCTGGACTTAGGTAGGATTGTATTCTGATACATCAAAATACTAGACACTAGTCAAACACCCTGTTTATTTTGTTTAGCAACACTTTGGTTGATGATTCGACTGGTAAGACCTATCCACTGAGCATCATAGCACATTCTACCAGAGTATTGCCATTGTTAACATTTTGGGTCGAAAGAGCTGATGCCTAAGCTGAGCATATATGCAGGGGGGCCACCTGGACGAGCTTCAGAAATGTTTTCCACAGTAGTATCCCCCTAGGTAACAACTTGCTAGTCTCTCTAGTTATCCGTCCTAGATGATGATTTGGGAAATTATTATCTGATAACTCCTTTTAAAGGAATCCTCCAGGATGGTGGAGTTCACACCCCTATTTGTCTTAGCTAAGCATGCAGTCATCTTACTGCTCCTGGGAGCTCTTTTAAACCCTTTAGTCTTGTGTTTTATCTTTCTAGTCAACTATCCTGGAGAATTCTTGGAAAAGGAGTTACCAGGTAACAAATAAATATAACATTGTTAAGTCATTAGGCTCAATTTGTAAAGCTAAACCACCGTAACGTAAAGGATCCTTAATATTTTTTTCTTTTCAAAGTGAGTTTATTTTTTTGCTGAGTCAGTTAGATTTGAAAATGTTAAACACCTGCATACACTGTCCCAAGAAACGTGTTAGCATAGTAAAATGGTGTCACTTCCTGGTGATTACAAACAATATCAGTGTATCCTCCAGTGTATCCTCCGCTGATATAACACATTCAATAACTCCTCCCACATCCATGAGGTCAAATCCAGTGAAAACGATTCATCCAATTCAAGCACAATGAATCCACAAGTATACAATAGCACAAGTTTCCGTGCTGACCCCGCAAAAAAAACAAACACCGGGTGTTTCCCCCCAAAAATGCACTCACTAAAAGATGCTGACCAACCTAAGTATGGTCATAATGTTTATTTAGATAACCAGCTGGCTGGTAACCACTTTCCTTCTTTATCATTCCTTGGACCCTCTGAGAATTTTAAGAGGCAAATACAAAGGTTCCCATCGTGTAAAATTAACCAACAAACTTTATTCAAACCCAAAGATAAAAAGAGAGCCACTCACATGTTTCTGTGCTTCATAAGCAATTGAAATCTGGTGCCAATATACCCAACCACTGTGTTGATATCTGAAACGGAAAGAATAATATAAATATTGGCCTCCTTTCTGGTCTGTGCGATGATATCACAAGGACTCCGTCCACAAAGCATGCTCTGTACATCCCGCAGCCTCAATGTATCTCACATCCTACCAAGTCTTCTTCCACCAACTTCCTTAGCTATGTTTTCATATGCATGTAGGTTTTAAATGGAATGACCTGGATCTAGACACAGGATGCCACACCCCTGGAAAGTAGTATAGCAAAAAACAGAAAGCTGGGTTTTTTTGGGCAACGAACTGACAACTTTCAGACCAAACGTTGTTTAGAAAAATATTATTTTATTTAATATAGTTTAAAAAGGTGAAGATAATTTCATAAAATTGACAACATGATTCCCCTATAAGCTCACTCCACAATGATTTAGTTCTTCATACACAAGATTACGCTCAGAAAATTATAAAATGAGACATAATTGGTTAACATGGTAGACAGAAAATTATTGGACAAAAGACATGATTGGTATGACAGAATAATGTTGGAGGAGCTTGGTTTTCTCAACGTGACGTTTCGCGCTGAATAGCGCTTCTTCAGGAGAAGGAGAGGGAGGTTGTCCTTGAAGTCTGTGTGCGTCCCAATGATTCAACCCGGCTCAAACAGTAACATGATAAGTATTGGAGCATGGAGAGGGAGGAAGGAAGGGTGGGGGCCCTGAACCCCAGCAGAGGCAGACCGAATCAAGAGATGACGGAGATAACCAGTACTCATAGATGGTTGAAAGTAAATTGAAGAATATTGCATTCCCCGGTCAGAGCCGTAGGATGTCCGTCCCTCTCTCAGTGTCGAGCCCCCAGCAGCTTACACAGCCCTCTCAGGCTGCACACAGGTGTTTTTTGCTTCATATGCATGTAGTTCACACAGTCAGACACTATAGGTCTCTATTACCCAGAGGGCCGAAATATACTAACATATACATGTAATTCCCCGTATGGAACACAAGATGTCCCCAATAACTGGAGCATCATTAAACCCTATTCAACAGAGAACCTGGATATATGAATATATACATGTAATTCCCCTAATCGAACACAAGATGCCCCTAATAACTGAAGCATCATTAAACTCTATTCAACAGAGGGCCTATATATATTATCATATACATGTAATTCCCTTAATGGAACACAAGATGTCCCCAATAACTGAAGCATCATTAAACTCTATTCAACAGAGGGCCTATATATACTAACATATACATGTTATTCCCTTAATGGAACACAAGATGTCCCCAATAACTGAAGCATCATTAAAACCAACCTGCAGCTTTGAACCTTATTT